GCCGGATTCACTTCCGGGTTATTACCCTTGCCGAGACTACTTATCGCGTTAGGACTCGACTAGTAAATGTAATATGACCTAGCCGACCTAGGTTTAGGAGCCCACGTACTAAATGATCCAAGGCTCCCCTGTCGCCAGGCCTCCCGGGCCGAGAGTGGTTCTATACTCGGCCCAACATGTTAATTTGAGCCCAAACACTCTTACTTGAGGATATAATTTGCATCATATCCATCCCGTTTAAGAATATGTCAAGATAATTCAAATTAAAAAGATAATCATGATAAAAACCATAATATTATCTTTTAACAAAAATATTTTCACTTTTCCATCCGACGGCTGAGAACTATGTTTACTCTACGGTCTCGATTACACGGGCCGATGATGTAAATTTGGGGTCCAAACATTGCCCCCCCAGTTTCCTTGAACTTCGGCTCGTAAGCCGAATGATTAAGGAAATTAAGTATCTCCAGCCTAATCAGATGTACTTTTGACCGTCATCCCTTGCTGCTGTTTACTCACGGCTCCTTTCGACCAAAGAACAACTCATGGCCGAAGATAAACAGTTATGAACCAGGGTCGAGAAGAATTGGAATTGGGGTCGAGGATAAATTTGGCCGAGGTCGAGAAGAGTCTTTTCTTGGCAGCTCGGCCTGCCTACATATATATGCATATCAAACCCATTGTCAGCAATCATGACTATATACATATATATATATATATATATATATATATATATATATAACCTCAAAACAGCAACCATGACTTATTCGGCCAAACTTTGACCCTAGCATCTTCCTGATTAAATGGTTTTGAAACTTGTCCCCACACTTTAACCATAGGCATGGTACTATTGATAGCAGCGAAAATAACTCTTCTCGGGTCGGCTTGTTTGTCGAGCTCGGCTAAAAAAACAAAATGACCAAAATTTTTGCCGAGCACACCACTTGTTGCCCCTCTTATTTTCTTAAGTATCGGTCAAGGGCCGAATGGTTAAGAAAATAATTTATTATATATAATTATATTTTTAGCAAACGAAAAGAAAAGTGGCCGAAACGTAGTCAGGAGGAGGCCAACGATGCTTTATTCCAAGCCAAGATCTTTTTACATCAAAATTTTCACTTTGACATTTTCCAAAACTGAATAAAAGATCATCTCCCATAATTTCTGACTTGGTGAAATATTTTGCATTTTCGGCCGCCGAATGTGTGGGAACAAGTATTATGCCCCCCCAGGCATAATTTCGGCGTTTAATTCAAACAACTTAGCCGAATAGGATTTCTCCATATCGACTTTATCGCCAATAATCATATCAATTGGCGTAGATTCTTGGGCTAGGCCAATATCTCGGCCTCGTTCGTCATTGGAGCACTCCTCTGACGAATCATTTTCTGAGTCGATTTGTGGCTCAGAAACTTTAACTTTTTCTTCTAGGCCTACCACACTTCCAGTCTCGACCGAAAAAATAGGTGGCCTAGGTTTTTCTTCGTGGCCGACCATATCTTCAGCCTCGACCGAAAAAATAGGTGGCCTTTGTTCTTCGGCCAAATTAACAATTTTCTTAGGCCGATGTCTGATTACGGCCGGAGCGAAAAATTGCCCCCCGGCCTTTGAGCCTAACCATTTTTCAAATGGAATTGATCTGTAATCAGAAACGTAAGGAAAATTTTCTTCATCTAGCCAGGCATTAAATCGAGCCCTGTCTTCATTTACCCATTGCCTTTGCAGGGTAACAGGAGCTTTTATTCTCAACATGCAAGCGAATGACTTTTGCATCTCTCCATGGCCACGAAGAACTTTTTCCACTTCCAAAGATCTTTTACATTCCTCATTGTGTTTTTCTCAATTCCTCTAGGAGCTCGTACAATCGGCTACGTTGAGCCAGATTGGAATCTTGATATATCATATGAACTTCGTAGTATTAGCACTGGGTCCCACTGGGCGTGCCAAAATGTTGACCCTAAAATCTACCAAGCCTACGTGGCGCGCAGGCCGAATATATTCTAAGCTAACTACGTCCTTCGGGTGGGTGATTGCGGGGCGTGCCAACTCGTCGGCCGAGCTCGGCCGAGGAGTAAATTTGATGATGTTGCGTTGAGCGCGCTGCTGACTTCTGTGTCTTGCGATTGCGGCCGAGGAAGGAACAATTCTCGGCCTCTTGGGTTCTAGAGCCTGAAGACAAGGCTGCTAATTTGCGAAGTTCAATCTCAAATTCGGCTGTCAATGTGCCGAATACAGTAACCTGGTAACACCCCACTTCGCCGAGAAGGCTGCTGATGAGATGACCTCGACCAATGAGGATTCGGAATCCTTCTCGACCGAGACTTGGATAGGTAACCAGTCGTCGTCCTCGCCGTAGTGCTGTTGATGCCAACGGAAGATGCTGCGAGATCGGCTGATTCTACGGTGACAGAGCTATCTATGCCGACTTAAGATATCACCGGTTGCCTTCACAGTGCTGTTGATGCCAACGGAAGATGTGTCGGCGAAAAAAGAAAATAAAAAATCTCAAGGTGTTGAGAAAGTTTGCGCAGGGCAGTTTTGTGTGTGTGTTGGAGGTCTTCTTGAATGATGCACAGCCTCCTCTATTTATAGCACTAGATACCTTTGAAGTCGAGTCAAAACCCTACTCGAACTAGGTCTTCTTCTCCGGATCAAACACCCACTCGACCAGTCCTATGTTTACTAGGATTGTGAGCCTAGTCCTCTATTGAGCCGGATTCACTTCCGGGTTATTACCCTTGCCGAGACTACTTATCGCGTTAGGACTCGACTAGTAAATGTAATATGACCTAGCCGACCTAGGTTTAGGAGCCCACGTACTAAATGATCCAAGGCTCCCCTGTCGCCAGGCCTCCCGGGCCGAGAGTGGTTCTATACTCGGCCCAACATGTTAATTTGAGCCCAAACACTCTTACTTGAGGATATAATTTGCATCATATCCATCCCGTTTAAGAATATGTCAAGATAATTCAAATTAAAAGATAATCATGATAAAAACCATAATATTATCTTTTAACAAAAATATTTTCACTTTTCCATCCGACGGCTGAGAACTATGTTTACTCTACGGTCTCGATTACACGGGCCGATGATGTAAATTTGGGTCCAAACAAAAATACAATAGCCATATTAATATATACAATATATTCTATATTAAATATATAGTTTTGTATTATTATTCTATATAAGTTAAAAAAAAAAGTTTTAGTCATTATTTATTTTTATTATGAGAGTTCCTTATTATCATTACTAGGATAAATTTTACTTAACATGTTGTTGTCCAAAATTAAAATAAACTAATATAGTATTTGTATAGGCAAGAACTAAGAAGACATATATACAAGTATGAAAAATGTGAAAAAATATATAAACACTCGTGATTCATCATTATTCCTCCACGAGTAGATAATGGTTACATTTACATTATCGTTTATATTTTTAAAATCCTCCAAACCTTCATGAATAATGTTTTTTATTTGAGGGCAAAATTAATAATAATTATTGTAGAAGTGTTAAAAATGTAAAAACAAATATACAATCACTCATAGTGACAAACTTTACAACTTTCATGAAGGGGTAAGCTTCGAAATCCAATACTATAATTCATAAACCTTAAATTTATATTTAACCGTCGATTGCCATTTACGCTTTATTCTTCTTACTGAATTTCATTTTTAAAATTTTCTTTTTTGAAAACATGATCATTTGGCGGATGTAAGAAGATGAACGGTTCAGATCTTTGATATCACGTTTCGATATTTACTGTTAACTGAAATATGAGTCGATGTCATATAGTTTGTAGAAACTTTATAAACATCAAGCAATATTTTCACTAACCGTAAAGCTTTGAATATAATATGAACGATCAAAACCGTTCATCTTCCTGCATCCTCTAATAGATCAAGTTTTCAAAAAAGAAAATCTGAAAAAACAAAATTTGATGAGAACAATGAAGCGTAAATGTAAACAACAATCAACGGTTAAATTTGATCTATGATTTATATGATTATAGTGGCAAATTTCGAAGTTAAGCTCTTCATGAAAGTTGTAAAACTTGTCATGAAAGTTGTAAAGCTTGTCATTAGAGTGTTTATATATATTTTTCTATATTTTTTTACACTTCTACATTAATTAAAAAACTATTAAAGACTTTAGGTAAGTGAAAATATACTTAAAAGAAAAATGCGTTTTTATGTTTTGGATGTGACAATATGATATGTATATACTTATTTAGTATTATGTTTTTCATTTGATTATTTAATGGTTTAAAATATATTTTCCTTAACGAGTAACGGGTCGGGTCATATTACCTGTTAATATTATCGGGTTGATTTCGGGTCGGGTCATTTTACCCGTTTATTTTAACGGGTGTTACATGACACGACCCGTTAAGATATTGGGTATAAAACGAAAACGACACGAACACGGAAAACACGACACGAATACCCAGTCTAATTTCAAGCACTATCTAGTCCGTGACTTGACTTATAAATGAAATCTTTGTACAAGGTTGCGGCACTTGATTCACATTTCTGACTGATTTACACAACATATTATTTAACAACACAACTAAATATTTCTTCGCAAGTGGCCCTCTACCATAGTAGTGAAGATGAGTGTTGCCCTTACACCATGACATGTGTTCGAATCTTGTCGGTTCTCTAATCTAACAAATCCATCACTTGGTTAATAAATTAAAAAAAAAAAAAACTAAATATTCCTTCAAGAAAAACAAAGCTGTTGCTAGAAAATATAATAAAGACGAATGTGTGGATGAGGGAGGGTAGGAGGGTTGATTAGAAAGAAACAAAATTATGCTCGCAATTCTCACAAGAAGATTCCAATTTGACCCCCTAATTGTAATTCACAATAACAAAAGACAACAAGCGAGATTTTATTTTATGTTTGAAGATTAGTTTGGGAAATGGAATGAATCCTAAGATATATAAATATGACTCACTCATTCAGGCTATCCTATATGCAATCCTATTAATCTCTCTCTCTCTCTCTCTCTCTCTCTCTCTCTCTCTCAAATGGAAATGGAAATCCCTGATGATTTCTGCTCCTATGTTAGTGCACCCGCTAGTCCTGGTAGATATTGCAGCTCTGCCAATAACAACAATGTTTGCTTCTTTAGTGTCCCAACTAGTCCTAGGAAAAGGACCATTTCATCAACTTCTGATGACCATCCAACACCACCCATGACACCATATCACGATGCCAATTCCGACCTCGACGACTTTGAATTTGATACCAGTCACAGTTTCAATCTTGGTTCGGTTGGTAATGTGACTAGCCAGAAGGTGAAAGACTTGCTCGAACACAAGCAGCACGAACAAATGCAAACCATGGCATTTGCTGACGACCTTTTCTGCGGCGGAAAAGTTATCCCGCTTGCACCTCCACTCAAACTTCCACCCCGTCTTGGTCAACAAAGATATACCAACCGAAGCCCAACCCCATCTACCCAAGGGTCACCGAGTTTTGGGATCAAAATGCCGTTTTCGCATAGGACGTTGTGGAATGATGATTTTGATCCATTCATGGTGGCACTGCAGCATGTCAGGAAGGAGGAAAAGAGAGGAAAAGCAAAGACACAGGCTCGTGACATGTCCGACCTGAATGACCAACAGAATAAACAAACTGGCCTGCCAACACCAATTTCCTCACCTTTTGTGAACTCCCCAAGTCTGCTACAAAGTCCAAAAAGGCTGGCTCTGCCCAAAGGACTGGAGTTTGCAAGACAAGTTAGACTAATACGAATGGATCATTCCGAGAGATGCAGTGACCCCAAATTGGAGACGAGGATGCCTAAGAATAACATTGCTCAAGAAAGTGGGCCTTGTACAAAGCAAACCAAGGGGCAGAAAATCGGAAGGCTTTTATTGAGTGTGTCATTTGGGAAGGCAGATGATGAAGACAAAAAGGGAAAAGATCAAACTTCCGAAATATTGAAAAAGACAACATTTCTAAGGAGACTAAGCTTCAAGTCAGGAAGATTAACCAGCTGCAAAGCCGAGAAGAGGATATCTAATCAACTCACCAAGATGCCGCTAGTACAATTCAGGCCGAGGCTCTTACTCTGTATGGGTTATAAGGCAAGGTATGCAAAGTGAACCAGCCAGTGCCATAGCAAAAATATTGTCTTCTTTAAAATCCTGCATTCATGTCTTGAACTGCCAAAAGGAGCAAAAAAAGAAGTTATTGTTGTCACTTATATAATGTTTCTGCTTACTATTCTTTTACAGGCATCAACATTTCAATTGATTGTGTAAACAAAGTTTTTTCCTTTTCTTTACCTGGAAACTGGATTTATAGAAGAAACTACGTGTTTTAGATTGTAATCATTCACTCCCAATGTGAAGTAAACTGTCGAGCCATATTAGTGAAACTAATTTTCAACATAATAAAGAGAAAATAAAACTTCATTGTAAATTAAAAGTGGAAAACTAGTGACCATAAAGAAAAGTGGAAATCTATTGACCAAAAACAAAAGTGAAAATCTATTGACCAAATACAAAAGTGGAAATCTTTCGAAGGAACTACAGAAAAATTGTGAGGTGAATTTCATTTTGGCTTTACCAATTATTAGATGTATCTTCACAAATTCATAATCAATATTTACATTATTTCTTTTTTCTACTTCTAAACTTTGATCATCAAAGTAACTTCTATATATTGCTGAAGCTATTTCATTTTTCAGCTTCTTAATAACCTTATTCCCGGCTAAATGGAGGCTATAAGACAAACCCTCAGCATTTTCAGTTAGTACCTCTCCCATGCCAAGATTACCAGCAAACCCCTGTGGTCCATCCTTCATTACTGTCACAAACTAGACCAACAGCACTGATATGACTCTCACCTCTTCTGCAGACACCGATATTGAGTTTATTGTATGAGCGAAAGAGGGACTCCCAGGCAAAGAAAAATTTAACTATTGAAGGCTTAGCAGTAAGAGAAAAATTAGTTATAGAATCCATTTGGTAGGATAAAGCATGTATAACATACTGAGGATCAGCAAGCATACTGAAATTAGGATAAAATATACCATGCTTTTTTCATTTCCAACAATTATCAGCATGCGAAACTGAGAAAAAATCTCCATAATAAAACAGTTCCAGACTTCAGAATAGATGTAATGTATAACCTTAGCAAGTCGATGAATCCCAATGTAACAATCCAAGGCCACATCCAAATTTGCTAGCTAAAGTTAACTTCTGGACTCTTAAGCCTTACAAAGCGCATCACTGGATATAAGATTATGGGCATCAGATCTTTCCCCTCCTTGTGCAGAGAGGGCAGCAGTGCCCTTTCCATTCATTGTCAAGAAATCATCATCATGACCATGGGCAGTAAGTCTGTATAAGGAATGGGGTGGGTTGGACTCAGATACCATCAGTAACGGCCCAAAGCCTCATCCAAAAGAGTTACCTGAAGTTAACTTTTGGAGTTAAGAGTCTAGAAGTTGACAACGCATTACTTATCTTGACAGCGCATTAAGCGCATTACTTATGTGAAATTCAGGGTATACCAATTGGAGTTGCAAAAAAACAAATCATCTTGAGCTCATTACATATAAGTTATAACCGGGTATGATTTTTCTGGAAAACTTTAATATGCACACAATTGAAAAAAAAAAAAATAAATAAATTAGGCTGACACCCTAGATCCTTGAAAATATTTCTCATTTCAAAACATTTCTTCCTATACAATTGTGCACACTAAATAAATTTCTTTGTAGAGAAAAGGTATACAATTACCTTGTAGCGGTTACCTTTTGTCCTTCTCTCTTCATGGAAAAACTAGTTTATGCTTCAATTCCCTTTGGTTTGCATTTCCAATGTACCAGCAGTGAAACTCCTCCAAAAAACCCATCGCGAAACTGTAGGGAAAGAAACCACGCTGTCCATTTTGCCACTACGGTGACTACTTCTCAATCTTCAGGATCAAATGACCATCCACCCTCTGAAAAGCAGCTAATGCAAGTTGGCATGGGCCAACTTACTCTGAGTCAATTTGTTGCAGCATCCAAAAGAAATCAACTTAATGCAGATCTGTCACATACTATTTGCCTTCAAAAGAACGAGAATAACCTTCTTCAGTTTATGCAGCCATCGTTTGCTCCAGGTAATTTCAGTCGAATTGCGTTTTTCAGAGATGTCACTTTTCAACTTTTTGTCGCTTAGAGAATTTATTTATTTTAATTATTTTTATAGATAAATTAAAAACCATGCAAATTCAGATTAAGTACCAAATTTGTTTTTGAAGTGAAATAAATACCAATTTTAATATAGGTGTTAAGGGAATCTATCAATTTTAAGGAAAACTACTAAGTCCAACCCATTTTATTTGGATTAAGCCATAATTTGTGGCCCAAGATGGTTTTTGCCCCTTTTGCACGCGGACCACGTGCCACCAGTGTCAGTGTCGGCCATTGCATTCATGCCGGAAATTATTCTGGTTGCCAGAAATTTTCAAGTCATTGGTCAACAATGACAAAAAAAAGAAAAAAAAGAACAGCAATAGATGCAACTTTTTCATTTTCAATTATGTTTTTTTTATGTGAGTTTATTGTTTTTTCCCATGTATACACTATAAAATTGTGAGAATATTCATCACTTTACATGTTTTTTTGAAAGTCACCATTGGACAGTGACCTTGAGAAAAGAAAATTTGATCGGCTGGTCGGAAAAAAAATTTGAATTATAGTATTATAATGAGAATTGTTTTGGTTGACTCTTCAAATGGTACCTAAACTAAAATATAGTATTTTGGCTAAAAGCTTTTGTAGAATTGGTATTTAAATTAAACTAAGTGATCCCCTTATGGATCCAAGTTTTTGTTTTAAAAAAATGATGAATGAAAATGACTTAATACTCATTAGTTCCAAAACAAAAAATTGGATCCAAGTAGGATACCAAATAACCCTTAGAACTTAGAAAACCAATTAATTTATTGTGTACATATAATTTTTATTAATTTTTTAGAAAGAAAGATCCATAGGGCTATGTTTAATAACATTCAATGGATTCGTTTATTTTGCAGCTTCTGAGGTTTCTCAATTTTGTTCTTATAATCCCTCATCTCACAACCAGCTCAGAGATCTTATCAATCTCAATGCAATTGAGCTTAGAGGCAATAAGGAGTTGCTCGTACACCAGTAAGTGCGTCTTTTCCTGACTCAAACTTCTCCTTTTTCACTTGGAATGAACCTCATCTTTATATGGAGAGATCAAACTTGTCGGAACTAAGAAGCCACAAAGTGAGCCATCCTATGGTTAATCTCTCAGCTGCTCAGCAAGAGAAAAATGTAGGTTCCGATCTGAGCCTAGCTGCCAGAATACGGACAAGAAGGGATTTGAACAAGAGCAAATATGCTCTCTACACATGTCCTAAATGCCCGTGTGAATTTGTGTTCTCTGAAAACCTGGATGCTCATATGTCAGAGCACTAGAGGATAGAAGATTAAACTAATAGGATGACAATCTTGGACTTTGCATCCAGGTCGATGAACTCTGATTGCCCCATGGATCATTCACAATTCACCTGGTACCTAGAACATCTAGCTGGGCTGAAACTGGAAGCCACTTCCCCAAATTCAAATGCAACAGCTTCCAATGAGGACGGAGAAAAAGAAGATATGGCTCGCAAGCAAGCAACCCTGCTTACTAGCAGTGCTGAAAACCAAGGGCAGCCCTTCAACTAAGTTGGATACAAAGAAGGAGGGTGTTTCTTGTATCACCAAGAGCATCAAGGAAGTAGCCATGTTTGATGAAGTGTTTCTTAAACCATGTTTAAATTTTCCATGAAGTTTGAGTGACTAGATTGTTTGTTTCGATTATGTTTCGAACTTTTTAGTCTCATCCAGTGAGAGTTCAATTTCCAAATGCGATTTCCTCGGAGACATTTCATCAAACATATGGCAGGCATGCCACACCAATACACCAATACACACACACACACACACACACACACACACACACACACACACACACACACACACACACACACACATATATATATATAGCTCAGTGAAGAATGAAGATGGTGGGTCGCCATTTATGCGTAGAAGAAGCTCTGCTGGAAACACCTATGGAGAATGAGATCAAAAGTAAAGTTAAAAGACGAAATCCAATTGGAGAGATGATGAGTTGCACCAACCAACATAAACATACACACACACACACACACACACACACACACACACATATATATATATATATATTATATATATATATATATATATATATATATATAGCTCAGTGAAGAATGAAGATGGCGGGTTGCCATTTATGTGTAGAAGAAGCTCTGCTAGAAACACCTATGGAGAATGAGATCAAAAGTAAAGTTAAAAGACGAAATCCAATTGGAGAGATGATGAGTTGCACCAACCAGCATAAACAATCATTCATCAAGACTTACCAGTCCATTTTATCACTCACCAAAACTTTCTCAATTTCTCATGCCTCCTCATCTACCTTATGATTCTAAACAACGTGGTTCACATACGGCAAGTCATGCTCCTACATGATGGGGCAAATTTGTCATTTCAATCGTACCGTGCCCAATGAGAGTCTTTTCATTTTTTGGGCCCAATGAGAATATTTATGAAGTGAAAGTACGAAGGTTTATGTTTACTGTCAAAATCATTTTTGTTAATTAAAAGAGATTGAAAAGATAATTTGATATTCTATTACAAAAAATACGTCGACGATAATTCAATTTGATATTCTATTACAAAAAATACGTGGATGATAATTCAAGTTGATATTCTATATCATAAATTTGTCATTTATGTTATTGTTGGAAACTAATAATTCAAATTAAAAGTTTATTGCAATCGCAACAGTATGTCCTTTTGCTTTGAAAAATGGATATTTGCGGATTACACTGTCTGCAACTGCAATTCAACTGCATGGGTTGTGTAGAACTTGACCATAAGCAGAGTGGCCAAAAAGGTTCCTAACTCATAATAAAATGGTATCGAATTCGTCATCAACGAGAGTCGAACTTAAGACTTCTTATGTGGGCCAAAAACTTCACGCAAATATTGAAGTCCCAAATGTTCTATCTGGTCATTTAATTTCATGCTAATCTCATTTGTAGTATACGTTACACAAATTTAAATTAATTATTAGGTCATGCCAAACAAGGAAATATATCACGTCATGCCAAACACATTCGTTTAAACCCTTTAAAGAAACATAGTGTGGTAGAATTCTTTCACTTGTGTTGATCGAAACAAGGATTACAAAATATATAGGAAATCAGATACATTCCTGATCCTAAACTAAAGCCTACAAACAAGGAAGTCAAATACATAACAAGTAAGTAAATAACTAATTACCAATTTACAATATTTAC